ATAGTGGCGCAGACCAACCGCAGACCAAGCGCAGACCAAGCGCAGACGAATGGCAGTGTACACACAGGATAGTGGCGCAAACCAACCACAGACCAAGCACAAACCAATGGCAATGTACACAAAGGGTAGTGGCGCAGACCAACCGCAGACCAAGCGGATCAAGCGCAGACAATTGACAATGGCAGTGTACAATAGGATAGTGGCGCAGACCAACCGCAGACCAAGCGCAAACCAATGGCAGTGTACACAAATGACAAAGGATAGTGGCGCAGACCAACCGCAGACCAAGCGCAGACAATGGCAGTGCAGACAAAGAATGGTGGAGGACAGTTTACTAGTACGACTACGACTACTACTACGACTACTACTACTGCTACTGCTACCACTACTAATGTCAAGCTGGAGATCATCAGATCAGCATCTCAGCTCCCTGGAGCAAAAATTAAATGGTTTGCAATTCACCTAGTGATTGACCATTCACAGGCAACCGCCATTACTTATAAATGCCTATTCCACTCCCCCACCTATTGTCCGACACATTATGTCCGGCCAAACGCATCCGACCAAAGTTCTTCTTCTGGACGTTGCAAGACCTGGGCGGGCGACAAAGTAAACGGTGGTGGCTTTACTTGGACAAGTTGTAATTCCTGTTCGCCCTGGACTTGCACCATAATTAATGAATTGCAATGTATGCCACAGGGTAAAGGATCAACTGGTCAAGGATTGCAAAGTTATACCACTGTGATATTTGTCATTCGCGGGATTGAGATCAAAAGACAAAGTAATGGTTTCAGTTTCCAGCGTAGTAGATGGAGTGTGTATAGGAGTAGTTGTATAATCATAACTTCTCAAATCCCCTCATGAGTCTTCGAATTCCTTTATTTACTTACATGTTGAGGCAGTGATTGGGATATAGTCTGTTTGTGACACATGCACTGGCACTGGTAGACTAGAACTTGCTGACAGTCTGACAGTGGTAAGAATGTTATAGTGTGGGTAACACCAAATGAGCTTTGTTGAACAGGTTGTTTTGGTGACTGCCCTCAAAAAGGGTTTGCGTACAAAGTTTCTACCTTCTAGTCATTATTGGCTACCTGTGTTTTGTTGTACTTACCTTAGACCCCAAACAACAGGTTTAAACTCAGTTTTCCCCTCACCAACAACCAATACAACTGAACAATAAATAGATAACTAATCATATGCCATGGTTTCCATCCCCATCCCCATCTGTCCTGCCCGACCGTCACTGCATTTCCCCGTCCCCATCAGTTCAGCACCTCTGAGACAGCAGCTCTGTGGCCAGGGTCTGGCCTGCCGCAACATGTAAAAGTGGAAAAGTGATCTCTGGTAAAAAAACCAAATACGAAGTGGAGGCTATCGCTAGTAGGTTCCTTTTGCTAGTTACTAGGTTGGAGGCCATCGCTAGTAGGTTCCTTTTGCTATTAGTAATGTTAGTACCAACTGGATCCCGGATGTCCATTGACAACTTTACGAAGTCTGAAATCTGAAACATGACTTGGAAAAAACAGTGACTTCTTGTTATTGTTTTGACTACAGGCTCCAAACCTTTATATTACTAAATTTTAATTAATATGTCGTTGTCCAACATGACAAGTCATGAATGCTGTCCAGGAGTGCAACAGTCCGAGCCATGATCCAACAACAACTACTAGCAATCAACAAAAACTCAATGGAGACATTCATGGAGCAAATGCCACAGTACTTGTATTTAAGATACTATACGACGAACGAAGTCCAATGAATGATTTAATTGCAGGGACTGGGACTGAAGAGTCCAGGTTTCATCACCCTGAACCAACGGAACGGCTTTTCCACTCGCAATTCATAGTACACAGATATAGTCCAAAGCAGAAGTCCAACGAATCAGATCTGACTTTCTGTCTGACCAACTGTCCGACCAAGAAAATCATTAAAAGTACGACCTCAAAGTATGACCTCACTTCTTCTTAGATCGTCGTGTTTCTCCATAGCGTAACGTGGTTGCGTCCGAGTAAGAAGTCCTGACGTCAGAATCTGATTCTGGCCCGTCTTCAAGCTCCGGCGCAAGAGTCCTGGGAATTTGGATGGGTTCCTGGAGTCTGTGCACACAAGCATTCAGGCGCAATGTGCACCAAAATGCCGCAGCAAAGCATGAGCTCTCAAAGGCATTCCCTGCCAAGTCCTTGAGCAATGCCTCCGACATTCCGGCATAGAAGTCCTCCGGGTCCGACTCGTCTCCAACCCAAAGGCCCTGGAGACGCAATGACTCCAGTCCAAGCAAAGGCCTACACCTGCTGGTGATATACTTTTCACCCCTGGGTGTCAGGCAAGGGACGTACGGCGCAAGCTCTGTGAAGTTGAAGCTTTGAGAAAGGTCTACGGCGCGAGCTTTATGCTCTGGGAAATGTTTAACCCCAATTCTATAAAGCAAAGACCTCTTCCTCCTTGTCAATGTCCGAAGGTAAGGCTCCGACCTGGCTCCTTCTTTGAAAGCCTTCTTCCAACCACTGGACACTCCGACCCTTTTCTGAGAAAATCTCCGACTGAACTTGTGTGTCAAAGGTAGTAATTGTTTTCGTCGATGTCGTGCAGCCAACCTTTGGCACTTCTTTCTCATGGCTTCATGGAATTTGAGCTCCGACAAACTCCTAGC